TACTCTAGGGAGGCTGGTCAGGAGCAGACCATGTAGCAGAGACTAAAGGATAGGGAAAAGTGCATTCCAGCCAAAGGGTCCTGCACGAGCAAAGGTCCTGAGGCAGAAAAACCTTGCTGATTTTGAGGAACTGAGAGATCAACAGCATCACTGCAGTGTAAAGAAACAAGGGAAGGTGTGGTATGGTGAGAAATCAAGTCAAAAAAATAATTGAGAGGCAGATGATTTGGGCCTTTGGGACCAATGAAAAGATTTCAAATTGTACTTTAATTATCATGGGAAGCCATTGGATGGTTTTAAGCATGGAAGTGGCTTCATTTGATTTTTGTTTTGAAAAATCACTCTGGAAAACTGAGTGGGCCCCACAGGAGAAAACAGTCTGAAATAGAAATTTTCACTCCAGGTCCCCTTTAAATAGCCCCTGGTGGTGGGAAAGCATCGCCTTCCAAGACAGGCTATTCAATTGCTCCAGCCTCAGTTTCTTCATCTATAAAAGGGGATAATAACACGTTTACTTTCTGCCTCATGAATTTGACTATTGTAGGTACCTCAGATAAGGTATTTTTCTTTTTGTGTCTGGCTTATTTCACTGAGCATGCTGTCCTCAGGGTTCTTCCATGTTGTGGATGTGCTATGATTTCCTGCCTTTTAAAGGTCGAGTAACATTCCATTGTAGGTGCATACTACATTGGTTTATCCATTCATCTGTCATGACACTTGGGTTGCTTCTTCCACCCACTCTTTTATTCCACAAACTAGAGGCCCATTGCAGGAAGATTCCTGCAAGAATAGGGCTTCCTGCTGCCCGAGCGAAGCAGAGAAGGGAGCGAAATTCACCGAGGTGGGCTTCCCTCCCGCCTCCACCACCAGCTTGTTTCCCTCCCATCTCCGCTGCCCTGCTTGCTTCCCTGCAGCTTCGCTCCCTTCTGCAGCACTTGGCTTCCTTCTACGTTGTCTTCAGTCTTCGCTTTCTGCCTGCATATGCAAATTAACTGCCATCTTTGTTGGGTTAATTTACATATCATCTGATTGGCTGGTGGGTGTAGTGGAGTGACACCAACTTGCATGTTTCTCTTTTATTAGTGTAGATATTCACCCCGAGCCCATTAGAGCCTCACAATGGGCACAGGGCTGTAAAGATAAGTATGTACTATTTCTACCCTTTAACCACTCATATCACAGTGCAGGACAGAGAAAGAACAGAATTAATTACAGTTACAGCACTGGTGACTTGCTCGAGGCACTAAAATATGAGAACACAATAAACAGTAGAACACGTTCTAATTTTCTACCACAGAGGACAGAAACAGGGATCAATAAAAGGCCTTGGCTGAGTGACTCAGTATCTTCACTTTGAAAAGGATCTGCCTTTGTTTGCTCCTCCAGTTGCTGTGACATGGAAAATCCATCTATATTTGTAACCACTGTGAGTTTCTATTTGACCACTCTCTGGCTTTGCTTCCTTTGATGGGGTCCAGAATGAGTAGAGATGTGCAGCCAAGGAGGAGGGAAGGTTTCCTAGGGTGCCTCTGCCCAGTGGACTATAAAGCAGCCTTTGAACGATGTGCTTATACACAGCTTGGGATAGCTTGGTGAGTGGTTATTTTCCACTGAGTGAGAAAAGTAGACTTCAACTTACAGAAAATAGAAGAAAGGCTGAGTAGCACCCTGGTAACTGGGGTTGTCTCTGGGAAGAGGAATAAGGGGAACTTACACGTTTGCCTTATAGTTTTCTTTATTGTTGGTTCAATACAAAAATGGATGCATGAATTATCCAAAAAGAAGGGTTAAATTTTTAAATGAAAATATGGTCTGATCACCACCAATTTTTAAAAATTGAAGGGAAAAAAAAACATAGTAATTAGACCATGTTATAAAGATAGCTATATTTAGTTACTAGGTATATAAGAATTGCTTCCTAACCTCACGTTCATACTTTTTATAATAAGCATATATTACACTCAGGGGTCAAAACAACACTTTCATGTTCTTATTAAGTTGCTTGAGCAATTAAACCAAACATTTGAGAACCATGGAATGTCTTAGAGCATGGGAACCTCAGGCCCAAGCGCCCTTGGTTGCCCTCCCCGCATCTTTTGACTATGCAGTGTCTTTTTCTCATCCCTCAACCAGTTAAAGACAATAACCAAGCAAGACTTAGCATTGTTCCCCACCCACTTCTCAAGGCCTAATGATGTGAAGTAAGGGTTGGGATGGCGTGCTCGCTTCGGCAGCACATATACTAAAATTGGAACAATACAGAGAAGATTAGCATGGCCCCTGCACAAGGATGACACGCAAATTCGTGAAGCGTTCCATATTTTTATTTCACCCTACTTATATATCTAATTTCCAATCCCCTGCTCTAAATCCATATACACCTCTCTCTTCTCTTTCTTCACTATCCAATTTTTTTTTCTCTCTGTTGTTTTGTTGTTGTTTGCTTGATTGTTGAGTATATTGGGGTTTTTTATGCTTGTTTGTGAGATTGTTTTGCTTTTGCTTTTTATTTTTCTCTTGGCTTTTTTCCCCCCAGTTATTTTTTTGCTTCTGTGTTCCCTCGCCTTGCTTGATATTAGTTGTTGTTTGTAGTTTGCATTCATCTCTAGGGATCTGTTGCGGGAATTTGTTGGGATTAGTGGCTGTTCTATTGGAGTTTTCTCCCCATATAAATAGTTTCTTCCCCTCTTCTATTTCATTCTCTTTCTTTTCTCTCTTACTTTTTTTTCCCTTTTCCAAACTTCATTTTTGCACTCCTTTTCTTTTCTTTTTCTCTTTTTTTTCTCTTCTTTCTTCCTTATCCCCTAATTCTCTTTGCTCTGGTGGTCACCTTTATTTGGGGTTATTAGTATTGTGAATACATTTGTGTTCAGTGCCTTGTGTGTTGTGCCTTGTTGTGCTGTATTTTGTGCATTTAAATCAACGCAGCAGAGAGAGAACTACATAACCAAACACCTGGAGAAGAGAGATCATGGGGAGACAAAGAAACAGCCCGCATATGAATGAAAAACAGGCATCACCAGAAAAGGAAGTAAATGAAATGGAGGCAATCGAGGCAAGCAACCTGTCAGAGAAACAATTCAGAGAAATGGCCATAAGGTGGATGAAAAGAATGGAAGACAAATTCAACAATATGTGTAAGAACCAAGAGGAAATGAAAAATGACATCACTGCTATAAAGAACTCAATAGAAAGCATCAACAGTTGACTAGAAAGGCTGGGATGGCGTAGTGACACGGAGGTCTTCCAGCGGAGTATTCTCTCTACTTTAAAGACTTCCTTTAGCAAGACTCATTGTCAAATGGCACTCTCACAAATCACAGATCATACCCAGACTCAAACTTTAAAATGCCAAGGAGACAAGTAACTGAGAGGCTCAGACAGAGAAAGGAAAAGGCACCACATCCTACATCCCTCCTGGATCCTGCCTGCCTTTCTACATGGGATACACCTGCCTGGCCCAGAAAAATAGACCAGTCACCCAGTGAGGTGGTGTCAGGCTCCTCACACAGCCAAAGGGACTGAAGTGATGGAACTTCTCCGTTGTATTCCCCAGAGAGCTCTGCACTTTGCATGGCTTCCCGGGAACTCATGTCTACAGATTCTGAATTTGTTTTCAATGAGTAATCCTTGAACCAAGGGCCTCTTGCGAAGGGTACTCAAGACACAGAGACAGGTCTCTTTGTTCTAGCAAATGTCATTAGTGGATCTACCTGGAAGTCCTGTTGACAAGGAGACTAGACCAGCTCACTTGCCTTCCTTCTTTCCCCAGGACTGTCCCTCTTCCCAAATTAAGTAACGACATCACTAGCCAGCTGCCTCTCCCTCCTCCCTGGGACCTAGAGTGCGCAAGGTGGTATGTGGAGATACTGGAGATGAAAAAGGGAAACACAGCCTCTGGCACTTGCCAGGTGGCCTTGATAATCTTCTACTGAACATAATTTAAGGACACCAACATCAGATATGGTCATTGTGTGACTACAATAGACAGCAATATCTACAGGTAAAAACAATGTCCAAACCACACAAATATGACCAAACATCTGTTTATTGTAGCAAATATAGTGCCTGCTGCTTCTTTGCCAATAACAGCTTCAACTCTGCTCCATTCCTCCAGCCTAGCTGATTTGATTAGTTTTGACACCGATCACAGAATTACCCCCATCCCTTCTGCTTCCTGGCAGCATCCATGCAAAGCCAATCTCCTGGAAATTTCCTCTAACATTTCATAAAACAAGCCCAAATCCTGTAAGTCCTTTCTAACATTTTTGAACTGAACTGTCCCTGACCCCATGGATCCCTACAATGAGTGCTCATTCTTCTTGCAAAGAACCAGAAAGCCCACCCTTATTCATCTGAAAGTCTCCATTTGTTAGTAAGTTTTCCTGCTGAGCTGGAGTCTTAGCCTAATAGCAGTGTTCTGCTTTCAGTGTGGGCTGAGCACAAATGTCAGGATTCTAGGTCAATATTCTATCCTCCCCTTCCTACTACTCTGCTCCTTCCAAAAGACTCCAGACGATTCCTCACTTACCCTATCCTCCAGGAGTCGCCCTCTCTCTCTTTTTTTTCTATTTTGTTCATCAGTTTTTGTTCCTTAGATTCCACATATAAGTGAGATCATGTGATATTCGTCTTTCTCTGAC